TCACTGCGAACTCGCGGGAGAGTCACGTGATCTTCCCCCAGCCCAACTACGCGGACACGCTCGTCAGCCAGGAGAGCTGTGGGAAAAGCGAGCCTCTCTTAATAGCTGAAGATTCAGCTACTGATTTAAGCAAATGTGACCCTAGGAGTAATCAGGTGAGATTTAGTTCCTGCCTTCTAATTTCTGGTGTCTCTGCACAAGTCTTTTAAGTGCCTTTTTCTGAGCCTTATAAGAATTGTTTTAAGGGGCATGTTCAGTTCATACATATTTAGAGCAATACATGTAAGTTTTTGTACTTTACTTTTCATCAAATTACTATGATTTTCCAGAAGAGTTTTGTGAAAACCCTTTTTTTTAGGCGTGGCATATTTCCTTTTGATTCCAAAGGTCCAGTTCAGCTATGGCTTGCATTATAGTAAGTTAAATTTTAGTAATATTCATCTATCATCAGTGTCTGTGGCTATCAATATAAACTAATTATGATTCAAAGTAATGATTCACAGTTTTCATTTTCCTATTTCAACTTCACATTGCCTCTACTGATTTATAATTATATTTTACCATTATTTGCTTTACTTTGTGCTCAAATCTGACAGTGTTGATTCAATGGCATATTCTCTCTGGCTCTTTTTCTTATTATATACACATATACACACACATGTGCACATTTACACATGTGAGCTTTTGAGCATAAAACAATTCTATTTTGATTTTTGATGACTAGTAATGTGTTTAGATCTTATCATTTCAACTTAGTTTCATTTATTTATCCCACAAAACAGACATATTGACTGCCTTTTAATTACTAGGGTCTCTTAGGAGAGGAAATGTAGAACACTTTTCTTCTTAGGTTCTAGACATTTTTTCCATTTCTACAGTGAAGTCATTAGATGGTTCTGAAGAAACAGTTGAATTGTTGTACTGGTGTTATTTCCTTTTATTCTTTTACTTTGGTGTTTGTGTGTGTATGTGTTGGAGTTTTTTTTAATGTAGTAATTCACTTAATAGAAATAACAATTTTGATCCAGTGCCTCTCAAAAAGTTATTTCAAATTTCCTGGACAGGCTTACATTTTTCAGATTTATTTGTGTGGAACAGTTTGTAAACATAAGAGATGGAGTGGCTATTTAGACTTCACGAGACTGATTTAGCCGGTATTTCTGTGAATATTTTTTTATTTTCAATATGCATATGAGTCATGAATTCCTTCTTTATTTCCTTTGTAAGCTCACTTTGTATTATATGTAAGTGTACTCACTTCTTATATTCAGAACCAACTTGTTATTGAAGCCCTCATGACAAAATATACGTTATCCGAAGCAATATCTAAGAACGTCAAGTGAGGAAAGGAGATTTATCTAGAGTATTTAACCTCAGGAATCATCTCTGTAATCAATTCAGCTCAGCACTCTCACACCACTTCTAGATATTTGGCCCAAATTACTTGACTATTTGTGTTCCTTTTCAAGTTTTCCTTTCTCATTTAGAAATTGACCTTAATGTAGTTAACTATAAATTCAGTATCTAATGTTTGGACAAAAAGTCTTCCAACTGTAGGAGAGGGAAGTCCTACAACAGATTCCTAAATTTTTCTTGAAGTCAGGAAAAATATTAGACTATTTTGAGCATCTAGGTACAGAATGTATGTTTATGCAATTTCAAATGGAGATAAAAGATTTAAGGCATCTTGAAATGAAATCAGGTGAATAAAAAGAATATGAGGTATTTTCTGGGAGAGGGGAATTGTTCCTTTTTTCTTTGTCTTTTTTAACAGTCTGAACTAGTTAGGAACTAACAACCAAGATCTTGGAGAATAAAAAGTAAAGGTTGGCTTTGAAACTTGAGATTAATGTTATTTGGACTCAGACGTAGTGATAAAGTTCTTTTCAGGTACAATATTTGATCCAGTTCAATAAAAGGATAGAAATAAAACACTCTCACATTTCACATCATTAAATTTCTATGGTAACCTACTAGGGTATGATTTTATATTGTGTATGATGAAAGTGTAAGACAATAATCCTCTTCATAAGTATCTTTTATAATTAAGAAGGAATAATTTATGGCATTGGCCATCCTTATCCTGAGTTATACCTATATAGATTTCAGCTCTCCTCCAGTTTCTTCTGATAAAAAGAAGAGGGAAATTATCTGCTCATCATATTGAAGTTAATATTGGGCATCATTTCAGGGCTGTGAAAATTTCCCCATACCACTTGTGATTGGGCTATTTGTTTGGGTCTTTGTTCTAAGTCTGGAGAGAAGATTTTGCTTTGTTCTTACAATATATGCTCATTGCCTCTGATTAGAAAAAGACATACTATTCTCATTACTGGGTTAATCGCTCTTCTGCAGGATCCCATCTTTAAGGAACCTGTTTGGTAGTAAACACTGGAAAACAGACACAAAACCTAAAAACTGTCTCCTTCCCTCTCTATCAGTCCATCATGTCTTTTGGAATAACAAAGCCCACTTTTTTCAAAGTTGCTAACTGCAGTTTTCTAAACAGACTCCAAGCGCCGCTGTTGGCCAATGGGCTGCAAGAGTTGGAGTCCAGGATCTACCTAAGTGATTTACTGCGCAGTCAGGGAAGCAAGTAGGGGAGATGAAGCTCAGATTGAGGCCCTCTGCTCGGCAAATCTAATTTTGGAATACGGATTGAAATACCTTCAAACTGCGAGCAATGAATTTTCTATGCGGTGGAAATAAATATTTTAAATACAGTTTGTAAAACATCGTCTCTTAATGATGAAGTTGCTGCAACGCAAAGAAGGATGGGAACTAGTGCCAAGTAGAGGGGCAGTACCAGGTGTCAGCAAATATTCTTTTTCTTCCTGCTGCTTATGTTCTGCAGAGCTCTCCCTGAGCAGATCCGCCACACTATTCCTGAAGAAATGTCCAGGGGCTTTGTTGTGGGAAACCGTGCTGAGGACTTGGGGCTGCATGTAAGGGACTCAGTGACCCGCAGTCTCAGAGTTTGTGCAGAGAAACAGTACTTTACCATAAACACAGAGAATGGGAACATACTCGTGAATGACAGAATAGATAGGGAGTCCCTGTGCCCCCCAAACCCTCTGTGTGTCTTGCCCTTAGAGATTGAAGTAGAGAATCCTCTAAAATTTTTTCACGTAAATGTGATTATAGAATATGTAAATGAGAATCCATCTCATTTTCCCCCAAATAACATTGTTTTACAAATCAATGAACCTGCGATTCCAGGAACTTAATTTGGCCTGGAATTTTCTATAGATGTAGATGTAAGGTCTAATTCTCTTCAGTTATCAACTCAGATATAATGAGCATTTTTCTTTGGTGGTGAAGGATAAGATGGAAGGCAAGAATGCCCCAGAATTACTGCTGGAGAAGCCCCTGGATTGGGAGCAACAGAGCTCCTACCTTCTGGTCCTGACAGCAGTGAATGGGGGTGACCGGTCCATACTGACGCCATTCAAACCAGGATCAAAGTCACTGATGCCATCAATAACCCCCCAGTGTACAATCAGGATGTGTACAAAGTTAGCCTTCGAGAGATCTTGCCCCCAGGCACCTGTGTGCTCAAGGTGACTATACTGACCAGGATGAGGGCAACAATGCAGAGATCACCTACTCCTTCAAAACACTACGAGATAATGGAAATATGTATATGCAAGATGATCAAAGTGGAGAAATTAAACCCAAAGATCCTATAGACTTTGAAATCAGTAGCAGCTATACCATGAGCATAGAATCCAAGGACGGTAGAGATATGGCCACTGGAAATTTTAAACGAGAATGATAATGCCGCGGAGGTAGTTTTCACTTCTGTGTCTGGTTCCATTACCGAGGATGAAGCACGGGATGGTGATTGCTCTGTTCAAAACATGATAACGATTCGGGAGAAAATGGAGAAGTCATATGCCTTATAAAAGAAAAAGTTCCTTTAAGAACAGAATATTATGCCAATAATCTCAAGCTTGTAACAGGCCCCTGAACCGGGAACAGACCCCGGAGTACAACGTCACCGTCACAGCCACCGACAGGGGCAAGCCGCCCCTCTCCTCCAGCGCCACCATCACCCTGCACGTCACCGACGTCAACGACAACGCGCCGGTTTTCCAGCAGGCCTCCTAC